GTTTATGGGCCGCTGTCCTTCGCGATAAAATGGAGAAGCAGCCTCTCAAAATTTCCCCTCTCGCCCTCCATCGCGTCTCTCCTTTTCACCCAAACCCTCGCCTTTATCTTCTTCACTTCTCCCTCTCTCTCTGTCTAAACCCTAGAAATTTTGATCTCCAACGAATTGAGTTAGTCGATTTCTTGCGACAGAGGCATTCGATTCTCAAGGTAAGAATCTGGCACTGCTCCGATACCTTTCGCGATCGGTTCTTCTCGTTTCTTGATTCGATGACCCCGTCTTATTCTACGGTTTTAATTGGGGATTAATCTTTTTCCATGTTGGAATCGATTTGAACCTTTCTTTACGGTGAATTAGTGCTTTTAATTGGATATCTAGGGTTTCTTGGTGTGCTGAAGTTGAAATCTCGGTTCTTGTTCTCATGAGAAGCATTAGGGGAATGCAGAAATCGGTTTGCGGTCAAGAAAGCGTGCTGGGCTGGAAAGAATCCTTCAGCCAAGGAATTGGGATCACGGCACCCAAGGTTAGAACACGCGATAAACCTTTAGGATCGAACCTTTGAGTTCAGAGGAGAAAGAACTAATAACAAAAGAGAAGAAACGAAAAAAAGTTGAGATCTTTCTTTAATCTTCACGATGACTCGGATATTAGTCCAGAGAGGTTCTGGCAGTTCCTCTTCGAATCAGAATCAGGGCCGGGCACCTTCGAGTTCACTGCCTCAGAGCTCTGCGCCTAATGCTGCGTCTACCTCGAAGGAGGATGAACAGGAAAGAGAAGTACTTCAAGATCCTGGTTGCTTAGATGTGGTTATAGAGCAAACTGAGGGTCCCCAGGATAAATCCGTAGTGATCTGTGATGAATTTTTGACGGAAAGCTCTCAGGGCACTAGAATAAATACTGGGTCTGGTGAAGCAGCTGACAAAGAAAAGTCTGAAATTGATGAAGCTGTAGATTCTATGAAAGATCTGGAACTGGAAGATTCGGGAGGTTCGCTTGTGGTCTCATCTCAGATTGTTCTTGGAGGCTCAAATCCGCCGCCGCCGCCTGTGCCTCCCCCGAAGCCACCTGCTTCAAATTTCAATACGAGGAGAACACATTCGAGTGGTAATGCAGGAAGGGTTGATTCTCCTAGAAGACAATCTGGATGGCCTGTTGTTTCAACTCGGTCGTCGCCTTCTGGGTCTCGGATCTCTTCTCCAAGAGCATATGGTGATGGTGAAGGTTACAACAGTGCGGATGAACAGGGCCCTTGTTTTGTGTCTGCTTATGATGACGCTGTAAGTTTTCTACACTATACATGCTGATTAATTTCTATTTTTTGATGCATTTATTCCTTGTTTAGTTTAATTTCGTGGATGAATGGTAGAGTCTGACATCATGTTCAAACTTGTTATCTCAAGCATGCATTTCCCCCCATATATTGTTAGTGTTCTTTCTTGTAGGATCTATTGGGATGCATGCTACTCTGCTTTCTTCTTCTAACTTATGATTATGTTCTGTAAAAATGAATAAACGACAGTGAACTAACGCCTTCTCATCATTAATCTTGCTGAGCCATGCTACAAGATGTGACCTAATTTGCACTCTTTCTAGTGCTGTGAATAATTTAATAAAAATCTAAAGCTATGCTAAAATGACTAATACCTTTCCATAGTACTTTTTTCCAAGCCTAGACTGGACAAGTAATATCTTCCCCACCATCAACATCTAAAGCTTGGTTTCCATCTAAATGATTTTGTCTAAAATTCAAGGGAGGGGTTCTCCATAAACCCTAGAAAATTAGTTTCATAATCATAATCTCCAGGTTCTCTGGTTTTCTACCTTCAATGGAGATTAGTCCCAATTCAACCACTGGCATTAAAAAATCTTTAAAAATGCACAGGTAAACAAACTTTGATGCTCATTCCATCATTTACAATCCTCTTCCCATTGAACAGTGTTGGGTGACTAGAGGTCAAGAAAGCTACTCAAAGAACCAAGTAGCTGTTATGACTGATTACCAGCTGACATTACTTTATATTGGCACATCTTGATAACATGCGCAAGAGAGAGCATTAGGGATGTTAACGGATCGCATACAGCGTGGACATGACACTTACCAAATCTGTATCCGCTTAACAATCATGGAGACAGATACAAATATGTCTTGGCAAGGAAAACTTACATCCATATCCGCTAAAACCGGATATGGATATGGATATATATGTGGATATGTGGATATGCATGCGGATACAAAACGGATGTGCAAAAATAAAATAATATCGAGAAAATATGGTTCGTAAGATACGAAAGAGTTCATTAATATATTTGCTATAAGTTTAAAACTAAGATTATATGTTTTGATGATCAAAATTAGTCTCAAATCCATTAATCTAGCAATTACAACAGTTACAACTGCATGATCAACATATATTCATCCGGATATTTCCCTCCATAACGATATCCTTGTATCCTATTGGTTATTGAATTTAGTAGTCATATCTGTATCTTAACGGATATGGATATGGATGTTTTTAGACACCCCTAGATAGCATGCCACTAATACCTTGGTTGACAATAAAAGTAGTCTAGACGGGAAGGCAGGACAATATGACTTACTATACTGAATCATATTCTACCTAGCGACTTATAATTGTCCCTGCAGTTGTCAATGTCTGTGAGATTTAACATCTGCTCGTATCATCCTACTTCTTTCTTTCTATCTTTTGTTTTTCTCATAAGGTTTGGCCCTTGAAAATTTGATCAAGTTTCCAGATCATACGTTTGTCAAAATTCTTTCTAAGATATCTTGACAATCTGAACGGAACTTGCACTTGGATAAATGATGCAACCAGAAGATGCAATCGTCTTTAGCCATGTGCACTCTGGTTCTCTCTGTTCGCTGCTCAGCCACCAGTTCATTCTTGATGAGTTGCTGTCTTTTTTCACGGAACAAGAGAGATAAAAGTCTGCTCATTTGACTATTGATGAATATGGAATACAATGTATTTTTGTTTTATCAATCAAACAATGCTCCAACTACTATTTCATCAGTAAATCTGTGAAGATTTTAAGACTTGCTGCAACTTAAAATTTAAAATGCGTGATATGCTGTTTTCAGGAGCGAGAACGTATGTTTGAGATTGAGATCAGGCGAACAAAGGGATTAGAGGTTAAGAGAATGCTGGAGGATGGTAATTGTTTATTTCGTGCTGTTGCAGATCAAGTTTATGGCGATCCAGAAGCATATGATATGGCTAGGCAAATGTGCATCGATTATATGGTATATGCCTTCTTGCCTATATAATCTTTAATGATGCAGTATTGAATGTTCTTATTTTCTGTAATCAAGTACCTTTTCACTTGCATTATCCATTGATTTCATAAAAGAGAGGAGCCTTCATGTTTGCTTTCAAGAATCTCTACCTATGAGATAGTAATGTCTTGACCTATAGCAGTTTTAATGTTGTTATGTGTAGATTAGGAAAAATAATGTTTAATATTACTATCCTTTTTTTACCAATGATAGTTTTCTGTTTTTAATTATATCTTTTCTGGATTATGATAGCTATCTATTTGTCTTGTGTCGTGTATTACTAACTACCAAGGCAGTATTCTCTGTCAGTCATATCATCAGGTTCTTTCTCAGGAGAACAAGTTGCTGTTCTACTGGATTTCTAGCGCATGCAATGCACATTGTTTACATACAATATAGAGAATTGTACATGTGGAAATAAATTCTTTTTATTTTTAATTTTACATTGAATAGTTTGTATTTGAAGATGTGGATAGAAAACTGTGGTGTTCAGTGTCATGAGGAATAATGCATGTAATAATGATGGTTTAAAAAGGCATGAGTTAGGTTAACTTTTTGAACTTTGAAGAGTTCTAGAAGAATTTAAAAGTTTCTACTGTAGTTTATTATTTTAAGATGGAAATGAAATTCTTAGAGATGTTTCTAGATTACAACACAAAGGCAGCATCTTATATATATATATATATATATATATATATATATATATATATATATATAGTATATATATATATATATATATATAATATATATATATATATATATATATATATATTACAATAAAGAGACATCTGTAGAAAGAAGCAGTTATAAAACTTAAGTTTAGAATTGGACAGTCGGGACAGGAAGGGAGAACTGATAAGTTGAAGTCAGAACAAAACTGAATCCTCAATTCCATCCTCCAAGAATCGTTGCTATAATAATATTCATCTTTCCCTAATTTTCATTCTTTGCGCTCGGCTGTTAGTTCATAATTTGTTCAATGTGTCTTAGGTTTTAATTTTCTTGTCTTCCCATGATAGGTGGATGCATCAATAATTATACTCATAGAAGTGACTGAGGGTTTCCCGCTCTGTTTAAAGAGTATGATAACTTGATGTTGAGGTTCATGGTACAAAAAGTAGCTAACGACAAAACTTCTCCTGGGAAAAAGTTAATAGGTGGCTATATAGCAAGACCTATTAGATACCTGACAGCTTTCTTAACTTGCTGCCTGTCTTTCGATGACTTATTCCTTACTGTTTGTTGGCCTCCAGAATTACGAAGAATAGATAGTTGGATGCAAGAAGTTCAAGTCTTTGTTTGGGCTTATCCAATAATAGAAGAGTTTGAACAAAGTTTTAGCTCACTTAAAACATGAAGAAGCCTGATTAGGATGTACTCAGCCTTGTGCTCTCTCTCTCTCTCTCTCTCTCTCTCAACACTC